GCGGAGTACTGAGAATTGGGGTCAGGAGAATTATATGATCCAGACTTACTGGAGTAGTATTCACGCTTTGCCTTAGCTGCAAGGCCAAACTCCTCATAAGCACGATTATATATTTCATCACGTTTTCTCTTTTCAGACAAAGACCTTGAACCCTCTTGCAACGAAGAAGTACCTCGACTATTCTTACGCTTCCCCTTCTGGGCACCCCGGCATTGTGGCTCCTTGTCAAGACCGCTTCGCAGTTCTCAGCATCTACATCAATTGGCGTTTCCAACCCTGGCGCAGACTCCTCTGTACCTATTGTATAGTTACCCTCATTTCTACCATAGTTCATTTGCTTTGATCGGGCCTCTTTCCCAGTTAGAGGTGGGTCATTCGAAGACTAGTCGTAAGTTCCTAGGGCACCAATATCTTCAAAAAGTTCAACCAAATTCCAGTAATGGTCGCTGTGCTGATTCTTGACAAGACTTATGTCTTTGTCCTACACAAAATACGCAACAGCCTTAGCTTGAATGTGAATGAAACAAATTAAGACGTTTCTGGACGCGACAATCGTAAAGAGTATTAGATAATTGGATTGACTAAGTAGAAGTCCCTAACCTGGCCATAGTATCTCCAAACATAATCTAGTGCAGCAAAGCACTTTAATGTTTCATTCCACCCTACGCCAGTTTGGCCCCCAATTTCCTTGAATAGTCGTGCAACCTTCATGAAACTGTAGTACTTCCTTTTCACTTGCTCATAATCGTATGACTTATGGCTAAACCTTATGTTCAACCTATTCCATACATCCTCAAACACAAAAGTATTTATGTTATTTTTAGACAAGTTGCCAACTTCTTTGTGTTCCTGCAACAGCTGAACATAATAGCACTCTATTTCGAATTCCCACTTAGCTATGGTACTAGAACCTCCACTGTCATTAGTCTTGCCTCGGGCCATCTAAGACGTAAATTTCAAATAAAGTAGTATCAATCGACCATTAATGGCAATATTGAAAGGCATTAAAAACCACACAACAAATAGGGTTGTCTTTGAAAAACCTGCGCGGAAGTACGATTGTGGTAGTACTTCAAGCACACCTCAAAGTCGTTTGAGCCATTCTCTGATTGACAACAGTTGCTGGTACTAGAACACGGCGTAGGGGAGGTTCCTAAACGATAAGACTACTGTTAGGAAAAATAAGGTGTAGTACGTGTAAATGCAACCCAAAGCAGTAACATATATACTACTAGGACAATTTACTATGCACCCATGAATACAAGGCAAACATAAGTAATTCGCCTTTTAATTTATGGGGACTCGAAGACATCAAACGGTGTGCAGGCGATCGAAATAGATGCAGCACAGATCAGAGGGTATTCCAATGCCTGGAAGGAATGCAACCAAAACAAAGACGTACCTAAAAAAGTTTTCTGTTGCCGAAAGGTTCAGAACATAAGACGTCATTGATAATATTAACCAACCATCTGGCCTGTTTCAATTGTATTAAATAGTGGTTTGGATAGCAATACCAAAAACTTTCTAAAAGACCCCGAGCTGGATCCACAACAGGCCCCCGTTTCAATAAATCAAATTACGTTCTTGTTATATAATTCCAGTTATGAAAAGGTTGCTTATTTTACAATTGGTGACAAGCATTGATACTAATAATGGATATTCATGGCACCCATAATACAATACACACTTCAAACGATATGACCTCAGCAGGGGCGTGTTCAGATGCTAGAATATGACAAACAATGGCATCAAATTTTAACACAGACAGCTTCATATCTGTGTTTTGAAATGAAAAGATTCATATTGGCAATCATAGAGAAATTTGCAACCCGTAACCACACTCACGTAAGGGGTACTTGTATGTCAGAGTCCAATCCAAAAAAATGTAGGTACAATATTATCGTGATGTACAGAGAGCAAACCAGCAAATTTCCCTACAACAGATACACTTGGTACACCCAAAACAATCGACAAACAATTCAGAAATTATGGCGGATTAAGCAGGATAGGGAGCTATGTTTCACGAACCAAAGGGAAATAGTGTAAATGTAGATGTATTCAATACAATGTGCACTCCAAATTACCCACAAATACAATGCTTACGATCATTGCATTGGTTAAACAGTGACGTCAATTTCGGCAACCAAATAACCACGGCCAGCATGGCCTGCCATTTTGGCGGATCCGTACAGCTAACACCAATGTACAAATCCATTCAACAGTACTAATTAGCGAATGCACAAGTTCAGCAGTATGTTTCTCCTCTTCAAGAACAATGCTGCTTTTCGATCTAGTAAAAATAAAAGGGCTACGAACCTGGTATGTAGTATCTCCGCCGAAAAAATAGGCCTCCGCCACCGCCATTAGGTAGCAACGTTTGAGCCGCAGTAGCAACAATCTACGGCCAAACTAACTAGGCTCTCCCCCGGCACAAACTACTGCCGACCGAGTAAATGGTTGCTAATCTGCTGCAAGACGATAGACAAATCTTGGGATGTGAATGATCCCTGCAATCTCCAAAGAGGAGTGCGTTGAGATGGCGGAAAAGGAAAACAGTTCAAAGGATATGTTTTGAAACAAAAGTTAACCCAAAAAAGCATTGATGCAAGATTCCTGACCGTTTACAACAAAGTAATAAAGTGAGGACCATTCACAGGTATATGTCTTGTTAGCTACAGTTCGAACAGTCCAAAATTTTTTATGGGTAATTTCTGAAGCTGTGAAAAACGTAGGGTATTTTCCATTGTAAAAATGTGGGGCCCATCCTGCAGAAAATAGCATTTTCCGATAGAAAATGCAATCCAAGCCAGGCCTAAATCTTCCCTAATTGAAATTGACAAACTTCCCGTTTGACTTTTTTTCCAAACAAATAATATGCAAAGTTCAACAAATAAAAGGGTGATTAAATGCTTGGGAAAAAAACAAATGTCTTCTGGAACCCATTTGTTTGTTCTTTCTTCACGATCATTGATTTCAATTTCAGAAGATAAGAAAAGAAAAAGAAGTGATTCGCAGTAGTGGAGGATATTGATAGAGTCGCCAATAGGTGCGAAATGAATAAACAATTCACAAGGTTCATTTGGGTTCTAATTTGTTGCTTGCATTGCTAATTGGGGTGTCAGGTGTGTTTGGCTAGAGTATTATTTGAAATATTATTTGGAATAATTACTGTAACAATTTTTGTGATGTAATGTGTGTGAGATAAAAAGTAGTTGGGAATATGAAAAGGTGGATTGGAAAATGTGTTTATGATATAAGCGAAATATTATTTGAGATAAATTTGCAATCCAAACACAGGGGCAAGGAGAATGACGACGGTAAGCATTGTGGGGTAGACAAGGAATGATTAATTGATTTGTGAAATGTAGGAGAAGCAATTAAAATTTAGGAGTTTCGTTTGAAATCCCAAAAATTTGAAATTTAACTGCAAAATCTTAAGTATGGGCAAAGTTGTCGCATGAACAGAAATTTGCTCGGAATCCTAATTTTTGCTCTGACAGTATCACCAGCCGAATGAAATGCATGTGGTGCAATTATTTGTTTTGAGCTGGCAGATTTAAATTATGCAGTTATTTACTTGATGGCATATCAAGCCCCATAGTCAAAGTATTAGGAATTGAGTGAAACTGAAGTTTGATCAATTTGAAGGTGGTAGGTCCATCATGAAAGGGAGAGGGGCAAGAATAATTATCGGCTTAACGATTTCATAACATTTTAGCACCCTTTCAACAAGATGTAATTCAGGCAAATTGCATTTTTGGTCTTCATTTTGGTCTTGTTAATCAATTTTGGTTCATATATCCTTCGAAAAAATTTTTGTTTCGTACATAGTTTGCCAACAATAATCGTCCTTACCTCTTATTCGATTCTAAACATACACTCTTTTTCTTTTGCGCCTGGCTTGAAAAAAACTTTTTTTTCTTTTTTTTGCCAAAAATCAAAGATTTACCTTTACGACAAGTTTAACACACTAATATCTTGTTTTACATTTTCTTTGCACTTGACTTGTATGGGTTATGTAGATTTCACAAATATGAAGTACTTACAAAACAAATGGGAAAAAAATCACAACTTTGTTGAGAGGAATTTGAGAATCTTGAGCAAAACAAATATTGAAAATTTCTTGTATAATTCACTCAACTCAGGTAGATTTTTCAATTTGTACTACAAGCAACTCTATTAGAAAGATCATCATGTCAGTCCTCAAATTTTGATTTAGTTAGCAGAAACATTAACTAAGTGACTTTGAGTTTCTTGGCTCAACTTTCAAACAGTTCTTTTCCCCCCTTTTCATTGCAAGACCTTGAATCGCTTTTGATATAATCATAAAAAAAAAAAAAAGGAAAATCATCCTATAGACTGGTAATTTAATGCATAAGCTTGACACATCAGGACTATCTAAGAAATCATCGTATAATAAATCAATAACTAGACCCTGGACCATTTACCTTCTCAGGAATGACTTCGTAGTTGAAGTTCTGAATGAATGATCATATAAATGGTTTGTTATTGCAGAGAAAGGGAATGAGGGTCGAAATTTATTCCCTTCCAATAGAAGTTCCTGATAGTTGTTCCATTTTGGTCTCTTACCACATTGAGATTGAATGCACTAAAAATTTTCCAAATAGTTTTGTCAAAGAAAAGATGAGAAAGAGAAAATCTCCAACCAAGTTTTGACAATCTCAAGTAAAGAATCAACACATGGAGAAAAGTAGAGAACTCTGCAAGGTAGTTGCAGAACATATAAAGCAAAACAGAAAGGTCCTATCCTCTCAAGAATCCAATGAACCAAGAGCAGTGGCTAGGAAGTTAAACATGAAGTTCTACTTCTAAAGCACACGAAAGATTGAACATCCAAATGGGATAAGGAATGAGAAGCTGGATAGCTTTATGACAGCTTTAATGATTGAAAAATATAGACAGAAAATGTTTAAGCACCATTTATCAAAAAGTTCAAACCAAGATTTTACATTATATGCAGCTTAAATGTATGGCACAAAGTGAACATTTCAAAGACCTCAATCCCAAATAAAACATGTCAGAGTGAGGATCATGGGAACAAATAATTCGATGATCCCCTCGAGCTGAAAACAATTCCAAATCTTTATCCAAAACCTGTAAGTGTAAGAAACACACTGCTCCTTTGAAAAATAGGAGAACGGTAAGAGCCATCTTGAAAGTGAAAAAATCACATATTTTGGACCTAAAGTAGTTAACACTTTCCTTCTTCTATTATATAACATCAGACATCCTTCTTCTATGATGATTAAGTCCAACTTTCAAGTAGGGATCAGAAGAAGCAATTGTGGTGCATGGAGTCATGGCAGGCGAATTTGAATCTAGGCCCTCACATTTAGCATCCTCCATCAGCAAACTAATCGGTTCTCCATATCTTGGCTTTTTGTTTGCCTTCCGCAAAAGCCCTTTAAATCGGGGATCAGAACAGCTGATGGACTGTGACCCTGAAATTTGGATTGAACTTCGAGTCTCTGACCTAACACTTCTTGTTTTGCTAATCATCTCTCTTTCTGCAGTGCTCTTTCTTTGCCGACTAGCAACTGTAGAATTCATGAATCGAGGCAATGAATTTCCAACAGTATTCCGAATAATTTTGGCAGACACTCTAGGGGTCCCTGACACTTCACCTAAATATTCTTTTGGGCTGGTGGGATTCTTTTCTTCTTCTTCAAGATTTTGACAAGTCACCAAAGAAATACTTTTATTCTCAGGCAGCAGATACTCAACCTTTAGAATCAGTTTTCGAATTTTTTGACACTCCTCCTCAGCTTCGTTCATCTCATCCTCAAGTTCAGAAATCTTTTTTTCTCTTTGCCTTTTCAGCTCCTGAGTGAAATGTGCTAAGGATAGGTTATGATCTGTAGTCATTTGTACAAGGAACAAAGAAATGGTGACAAAGATATTTGAAACACATACATTTGAAAGTTCTCTAATGCACTCCACTGCTCTTGCTCTCTTAGCAAAAGAAAACGAACAAGATGTCTCTCCGACATCCTCCTCATGTGGGCTCGCATGCACAAACATCATGACTTTTGATCGATCACCTAAAGTAAAGGAATCAAGGTACACAAGGTATTTCCAATTTGAACAGTAAATGAAAATCACTGACACAACATAATCAGTTGAAATTTGTGAAGGCAAGTGTTTTTACCTAGCGAATCTCTCAGGATTTGAGTCAATTTGCTGTTTCTGTGGAAGTTTATCCGTTAGTTAGTCTATAAATCCTCTGATAATGGGGAAGCCATTGCAAACAGTTTCAAGAACTTAGAACCACATACTGCACTTTCACCTTAAAGATCAATAACAAAAATAAACTGAGCAGGCACCTGTATGGTACATGGCCTTTCTTTCTTCTAAGGGCGGCAATGACATCTCCTAAGGCTGAAAGAGAAAGATTGATAGCCCTCCCCTCATCAAGTGTTTGTCCAGTAGCTCCTGTTTTCAGTAAGCGCTCACTGCCCCCAAGATCAACCATCCACAATTTGCTTACTGCAGCTTTGGCTCCTGAAGTATCCCCAAGGCGGTGTATAGAGATCCTTGTTAAGCTAAACACATTAAGCTAAATAGATCACATTATTATCAAGTCAAATAATCTAATAGCTAGCAATAAATCTGCCCAAAAAGCCCTAAACCTACCAGTGCGATCTGCTTGATGCCTCATTCACATTAGTCCATGAAGTAGACCTAACACGCCGCCCCTTATTGTACCACCAACTTGCTTTTGTGAAATTTGAAATTTGCACCTCAGTGAGACCTTCAATTTCAACTGATCCTTTTGAATCTATTTGTATAGTGGGATTGCTGTAGTAGAGTCAGCCAAAAGTATCTAAAAACTAAATGTCGAATACATTCTTGTCTCTTGGCATTAATAATAGGGTGTCTGAGAATAATTACCATTTTGATACAGCATAAGATCTGCAGGATGGTTTTGGAGCAAGCAAATCCCTGAGACTACCTAAATAAACTTCCACCATGCTGATGGAAAATGCAAAGGAAGTGCAGCTCTCTAAGGATGTCTTATTGAAGAGTGCTTTAAGAACACGAGGGATAATTCCAGGTGACTCACTTTTTCCATCCTAAAGAACAACAGTCAAAGAGTTTGGTGTTATCATTTATCCCATACAGCATCAGATTGAAATGTTTTGCCCCAAAACTAACTGATGACAGTCTTTTCAAATTAAAATGAGCAGATAAAATTCACATTCAGGCAACAAAGAACTGAATAACTAACCATTGTATATGTCTTGCCTGTGCCTGTTTGTCCATAAGCTAATATACATACATTGTGCCCATCAAGTGCAGATCTGAGAATTGGCTCAACCTCAACAAATACATCTTCTACAGAGTGTTTAAATAAAATAAAAGCCTTTATATACCCAGAAAAGCTAACCAGCCAAACTTGGGAAAACACAAGAAAATGAAACGAAACTTAGTAACTAACCTTGGCTAGCTTCTTGAGGGAAGACTTTATCAAATCCAAATTCTTTCTTTTGTCCACCATATTTAATTACAATTTTCTCCGGTTCAATTGAAAGCGGTTGCAGAGATGTCCTCTTCTCTGTAGATAGAAAGGGCCTAACACGACAAAATACTCGAATGCAACCTACAAGTTAATCCCATTCCTTAGCAAAGAAACAACAGAGAAGCACAGAAACATCCAAAAAGGAAGAAAAAATTTAAAAAGAATGTGGTGATTGGGGGGGGAGGGCACTGTTCAAGAAAATCATAAATAAACAAACATTAAATATCACCTTTAATGTCTAGAATCTTATTAAGTGCTGTTCTTCTTTTTTCAACTAGAGATCTCTCTTTCATCTTCAAACGCTCAATCTCTCCTGCATAACCCAACAAGAGACATTTTCAGATAATGAAGCAAGATATTATCCCACAAAAAGAATCGGAATCCCAGAAAATTTTACCTTCTAAATCCTTCATATTTAGTTCAAGCTGATCCTTTTCCTGCTTTGCAACCGCATTAGTATCTGCAAAAGTCCCAGAAACCTCTCCCGAGGATTCATCCAATCCAGGAGCCGCAGACACCCCATTAATTGAATTCGAATTTGAGTCCATTGGAAGAGCTTTTACTAAACATCCCCCATTATCAACAGTCAATGAGATCTGTTCTTTCTCAGAAGAAATGAACATTTCTCAAAAGTCTCAGCCAAAAAAATTCAAATCTTATAATCACTTCCCAGAAAAATCTAAATATTTCAAGAAATGAAGAAATGCTTTGATTGCTTTGCTATTCAAGGAAAACCCAGAAAATTTCTTTTCAAAAGAAGATTGTATTCAACTCTAATTTTCAGAAAAAGAATAAAAAAACTGAACATACCCACATGGAGAAAACTGTAAGATCAACAAACAAAGCAGATCCTATGTCCTAGTAGTATAAACTATGCATACATATATGCACACGACATATTTTATTTCAATTTAAAAATGGAGTAAAACTGAAGCCATCCCAGATTTCAAGCGCCAAAAAAAAAGAGCAAGAAATAGTAAAGTATAGTAGAACAAAGCTTTTCAAACACCCTTTGTTCTTGGGAGCCCAAATTGAGGAAATATGGTAGAAGATTGAAGCAACAACGTTTGAATTTTTTGGATTCTCCCTAGAATTCAGGGTGATTAGTTTTCTTTCGTTCAAATACTTTTTTTTTTTTTTTTACAATGCAATGATTGATGATTGATCACTCCATGAGGACTCTGATTAGGAGGTGGAAAAACCTGAAAAGCTACTTGGACAGTTAGGACGTTACAATAGCCAATAAAAAAAAGTTTTAACAGTTACTAAACAGGGACAGAGAGAGAAAAGGGGACCTGACAGTTGGTTAGCAGATCTAATATTAAGCTGAGATGTAAGAATCTGACATGAGATGTTTTTACTTTTTAGAACAATGGATTTAAGGAAGCGGGAGCGTGAAGGAGCGGAGGGAACACTGAAAAGTGAGCATTTCTCAATTCTGCCGGCTTAGCTTTTTGCTTTACAACATAAATCATGGGATAACCTTAAGTGCGCATACTAACGGATTTTGTTGGATTATGTGTACTTTTTCCTGAAAAACCACTCACCAATGGTTTGGATTAGTGTTTGGAAAAACTGCAAAAATGGTCCCTCGTGTCTGCAATTCTCCTTCCTTTTTACTTTCTTACATACAAATCATGCAGTTTGGTCTCTATATGTATCAAACCAATTTTTTGTGCAGAAAAGTTGATTAGCATGTGTAAATACTGCGAGGACTCGTAAAAAAAAATTATTATTATTATTTTTCGACTCCTATTTTTACTCATTTAATTATTTATTCGAATATTTGCTTCGATTATTATTTTCTAGCCTTATTAGACTTAAATACATGGAATTATGACTTCATTATATTTTTAAAGTGACTCGTTTCAAAAATTAATTTTTTGGAAGCTCGATTAATGTAAATAGTAAAAATGTGTCTGAAAACTTTAGCCAATTGAGAGTACAATAAGGTTGGAAATTTGGAGACATGTACAATGGTCCTAAAATAGGTAATTTTAGGTTTAAGTACTCAAGTGATAGTTAGTGGTACGATCGTTATAAAAATTTCTTGAAGGTTTCATTTTATCGCGTCTAAATTGGAAATACGCGTTTTCACGCGCGCGATTAATTGAGGGATTTTAGACCATTATTTTGGGACAATTAAGAGTGAATAATATTTGTATGAATATAAGTGCATTAGAGGTTTAGTGCACTAGTGAAACAAATGCGAGAGAAATCGAGCCCGAATCGCGCGTGTACACGCACTAGTGAAAGTTGACTTTTGTACAATTATGGGCCACACAAATGAAGCTTCTCTTGGAAGCCAAATTAGATCAACCCGCACTCTCTCTCCTCTCCAAAGATAGCCAGCCAGCCTCTCTCTCCCTCAACCTCCAAGTTTCAAAATTTCTTCTCACAAAAACCTCACCAATCTCCATCCAAATCCTACCAAATTTCATACACACTTAGATCCACTCTTGGACATCACTTTGAGCTGCAAAAATGCGCTAAACTCACGGTTTTTCTGGAGCAAAGGGGACCGAAAATCACTGCCTTGGTCTTCAACTAGAGCAAGTAACGATCCACCTTTGGAAACTTGGTTTATGTGAGTTGATTTACACTTATAAGTTTGGATATTCATATGGGTGGTTGTTATTGTTGAAAAATTTTGAATGTGGGCTCTATGAACTCCCACTCTTGGATGATGGCTGACGTGATGTTTGATGATGGGTTTAATGTTGGTTTAGTGCCCAAAATGGTAGATTAATGGGGTATTATTAGTATGAACTTCAAGAAATGCATGAGGGAAAAAGTTCCAATTCTGCCCCTGCTTTGAACGTACCTATTTCTGCGGAATTTTGAGGTTGTAATGACTCATATATGATGTTTATATGTTGTATAGATGGTGTATAAAATTTCATTGAAAAATATTGAGGTTTGGTTGGTCAAATGAATTGATTTCACAAAGTTGGTAAACCTGGAATTTTTCCCGACATGCTCAGACCAGCTTTCTTGTTTTATCCATAACTCTGTGCTCTGATGTCAAAATCAAGTTCTGTAAGCGGCATTTGAAACTAGACATTCCCACCTTTCTAACGGTATAAAATGCACGTTCTAGTTCCATGTATGTGAGCCGAACCAACCATTTAAATTCGGCCATTCTGTTTCTCTGTTTTCCTGGAACGAAATGCTAAGGCTGCAACTTGTGGCTCGAATTCGAGCTAGTTGTGTGCCGAATTTCAAAATGATTTCTTCTGTGAAATTATATCTCTATGAATGTGTTTTCCAACACCATAAACCATGCCCAATTCTGAGTTAAGTTGAGTGATTTATGATCAAAATACGGAACCTGCCCTGCTCTTGAAAACCCTAACTTTTGGACAGATTTGATGCAAGACTTGGTGTAGATTTGCTAACTGAATATTTTGGTGCTAAACACTTATGAAATGGCCATGAATGTTCCTTAGGCTTTGCCTACACTAATGAGCCATGTTTGAGGAATTTTTCCTTGACAAAATGTTTGGAATGGAAAACAAAAGGCTCAAGGCAGTTTTGTCTTAGGATTTTCGAAACTTTGGTTGTTTGATTGACTACCTTCCCGAAGGTATTTTTCCATGAAATTTGATAGAGGGATACTCTTTATATAGGAGTATTATACTACCGAATTTTGTACCAATCCAAGTTCATTTTGATACCTAACTAAAGTCCCAAAGTTGGAAGCTCAAATCTGGAAATTTGTTCACCAGTTTTGGATTTTTTCCCTAACTTTGAGCTACCGTATCTCGGTGCTCGAAACTCCGATTCTTGATCTGCTTTTTCTGTTATAAACCTTACTTGCAGCTCTAACTAATTTACAAATTTCAGAGGCTAGCTCGCAACATGTGAATTTTATCGAATTTCCAAAGTTAGCGAAAAACCAACCCCAACACAACCTTAAGTACTCTGAAACAGTAACTTTGAGCCCGTTTTTGAATATTTTTCATTTAGAATCATGGAAAAGTGTCTTCTAAGAACTTTTAGTACTTTCAAAGAGGTTTTCAACGGTACCAAGTTTTCCAATTTTTGACATGTAAAATGTGAGATACGATTTTTCAAATTATCATATCAAAACTGAAAATTTTCCGAATTCCAAAGGAAGGGAGTTTTCAAGCACTCCTTATTCCTTCGATATTACTTGGACATTTTATACTTGATTTTCCAAAATGAAAACTCGATCGCTCTTGTACTTTAAGAAACTCTAGTTGAACCTCGATTTACGAGTAATTGAGGTTCGTTTTCGTTAAATTTCCTTAGATTGTACTTATATACAATCTTCCTTGATAATTGGGGCACGTGAATGATAATACATTATTATTTGCTCAGACGCACACGAGAACCTTCAAGAGAATCCTACAGTGAACACCTGAACTTCCAAAAAATATTTCTTCTTGATTTACTCGGTGAGTGTCAAGTGTATGACTATTTGAACTCTATGGACTTGATTCATGCTTGGCTTACCTGATTACATGCTTAGCCTACCTGGTTTTGAAAAATGGAATCGAGTGTGTACTTTATCGCACTCGTTCTCATTTGAAACAAATGACTCATGTTTAACATGGTTTGCCTGGTTTACATGACCTGAAATACATACTTAAACCTGTCAAATGCTTGAATAGATGACATGGTATGCTATGGCTGCATACGTCGTTGGAGTGAATCTCCTCGACACTTACATGATACATGGGGGACACCCAAACTCATAGGCCGACCTTGGAACTTGAGCCGGCATGGGCTTGGTCGGGAATCTCGGTGAGCTATGAGATTTACATGATAAGCTTGATCTATTGAGAGATCTTGCTGGCATACTCGTGGAGTATCGCCTTATAAATGTCGTGCTGGCCCGAAACGGTGTATGGTGGACGGATAAGAAGTAAGTGGTGATCTACGGTTTGGAAATATCAACCCGGTTGACGGAGAGTCATCGCGGGAAGATATACGACTGAACTGGCAAAACAAGTGAAATTTAGCTCCTGAGAGCTACCATATCCTTGAATTGTTTCTGTTTACATTTTGTTGACATTATTAATTACTTGCAAGTTATCACTTGAACTGTTACTTGGGTTTGTTACCTGAACTATGTGTCTGCATGTGTGTTCTTGGCCTCACAAGCGTTTTGCTCACCCTGTAGATTTGTTTTCCTTAACAGGATGGAACTCGGAGGTGTACTGGAGAAACCCTCCTGATGTGCTTTTGTTTAGAATTTCTATTATATTTTGGCTATGCCCTTGGTTTTGGGTTGTACTTTTGGAATTGAAATGTAACTTTTGGGGCGTGATGTATATTTGGGATTCATGATGTACTTTGAACACCCGACGTGCGGGTTGGATAATGGATAACTATTGTTAAACTTGAACGCTTCCGCATTTACTGTACTTAGGTTATTTACTTGTGTTGTGTAGTTCGATAATAAGGTTGAATGGAATTGCTTAAGTCCTGGCGAGAGTTAGGCAGGCATCCCGCGGGTACCCTTTGGTTCGCCTTAAGGAGAAGTGGGGGCGTCACAAA